GTGGGTGTGTGTGTGTGTGTGTGTGTGTGTGTGTGTGAGAAAATATGCAAATACAATACAGGTGAGAGATGGGTATACTTTAACACACCTAAGGAATTCATAGGATAATAAAAATATCAGAGAATTACATACCAAATGCATACATCAAAAAGCATTATCAAAGCACTTCTTGCAAATTATAAAGGAGTCAAAATAGAAGTATCAGGTCAAGTCGGTACGATCAGATTTTTATGTGTCAAATTATCTTGTATACTATTTTATTTTTAATAACTACTACCTTTATTTTAAAACGGAGGGAGGAGCAGTAGTACACAGAAGTCCCCCTAGATAAGACCTCTTATGGAAATCAAAAGCCATTAACAGTTTAAAGTGTCTTTAACTACTATTCGTCTTGTCATTTTCTTCTAAGCAAAAATAAATTTGAAGAGCTTTATCACTTGTCTATTTTAACCAAATTTTTAGTCATAAATTGTGACTATTTGAAACCTTCAAAAAATGAGCCAAGTGTCATCTGTCATTAATTCAGAGTAACACATTCTACCTCTTTTGTTTGATTGTTTGATTTTTATCTATGCACACTGACTACAATATAGCATCTATGTTTCTTTAAAGTTCTAGATAATTAAAAAGAAAAATGGAGGAAGTGAAAGAAGATCCAGTTCCTATTTTAAGTGAAGCAAGGAAGACACAAAGACTAAAATGCTTTCCTAAAGAAACATGAGAAGCCAAGCAAAGTACAAACTCGCTGCCTGGTATTAAAAACTTGTAATCATAAAAGTTGACAATAGTTTAGAAATGCTTTGAAATAAATGTTTAGATAACCAGAAAATAAAACTCAAAAATTACACAGAGCCAAATCTATCTCCAAAATGGTTTTTAAAAAGGCCTATTAAGAACAAGTGAAAATCTGTGTTAAATTACCTTTTAAGACAGACTTATTTATAAAGAAGTTATAAAAAAAACAGTTCAAATCTCCACTGATAGTTTTAAAATGTCATTTACCACATACACTTATACACATTTGAAAGGAGAATTACATTTAATACTCCTAGAAAGTTTTAAGGACTATTCTGAGGAAACAAGAGTATAGATTTCACTTGGGAATGGGTATTATAAGTCAACTAAATTACAAGGTCACACATCCACACAAGTAAACTATGCAGATGTAAAAACAAAAAAATATGCTCTCTGTAACATGACAAGGAAAGATCTCCAAGACACACTAATAGTTGAAAAGAAACAAGGGTAAGTTACAGTACAGTAGGTCATTTTTCCTATTAAAAATTGTGAGATAATATTTACCTGTACTGTAATTAAAATTTTTTTTAAAACAACTGTGGAAAAGCACAAAGAAACCAATGATGGAGGGAAAGGTTTGAATAGAGAATAGGTATGGGTAGGAGACAAGATTTTGTTTTTAAGGCAAGACAGTTTATTTTTTCAACATGAATCTTTATCCATTAAAAAATATTACAGCCCCACCCTAACCAAGTAAAAAAAAAATTTAACCCTTAACCAATTAAAGTTATTTAGCACAAAAGTAAAACCTTCACATAGATAGGCCTACATCACAAATTCTCAATGAGTCATTAATGCCTTGAAGTAAATTCACAAAGCGGACAGTAACTAGGATCTTAACACACTACAAACAATAAAACATTATAATGAATCCTAAAAAATGAATTTTAATATTCAAGACCACAAGAATTTAAAACTATCTACAATCTTATCTATTAACTCTCCAAGTACTGCCTTTTCCATTTTGTCCTATTTTAAGGACCAAAACAGTTTCAGAACATACTAGATGAGTATGATTACATGAAAATTCACTATGAAAATTATTTCTAGTTAAATGTCATATAAATTTATGTCAAAATTTGTAATTATAGATTCTTTAAAAAAATTCTCCAAGTAGAATACTTAAAATATTCTCACCTGTTCAGTAATTGAACTCAAATCATTGGATGAAAAATCTTCCTCTTCATTCTCAAAAAACTCATAGTAATTTTCCAGAAGTCCAGCCATTATCCTGCTTACTATTTCTTGCTCTTTCATATCTTCCACATCTGTGTAAATGCTAAGAATAAAAATCCAAATTGAAATGAAAGACAATCAATGAGTCACTTTACAAATCTGATCTTTTTATGTCATTTTTTGCCTTGGTTTTCCCATCTATAGATCATACCGAATTTGCACCCTGGTTCACAAAAATGCTGGATTAATCATATCTTTTATAAATAATGGTTCTTCAAGCAGCCTATGACTCCTGGGACAAAGGATTATAGATTATATTTCACAAATCTAATTTTTTCTAATTAAGAAAAATTTATGAAACACTTACTGGAAGACATCTGGACCAAAAACAGCAGCCAAAGAATTTGCAGACCAAATTTCTTCATGATGTGATGCTACATTGGCTAAAAATCTACACAAAAACTTTAACAAACTGTAATTAACAGGTGGAAGCTGTTGCAAGAGGAACCTCAACTTTCTTCCAAATTCATCTTCATTATTATAATCTATAAAACATAATAACAGGCTTTTTTAATGAAGTAAAAGCAAAGCTCAGATATATTGCCAGGTTCACATTACCCCACCTACATCCCCTTTAACCGTAACAATTCAAAACCTCCCAACTTCCTCTACTGGAGGCCAAGCGCCTTAGGGTGTTGCATTTCACTTATTAAGTGGGAGAGGATAGTTAAGAGAAGAAAGTGAAGCAAAACTGTTCAATCCTTCAATTACTGGAGGTTGTTTTTTCTCAACTATTTCTTATTGGCCCCAAATCATTTATACACACACACACACACACACACGATGTGTATGTGTATATGTGTCTGTGTGTCTTCGCTTGTTTTCAAAATAATAAATCTCTATATGCCTATATCTTTCCAAAGGAAAAGAACGAATGGAAAAACAAAGTATGACTGACTTTTTCCTCTGATATTCTAAACAGTACTAGTAGCTTTAGCAGTATCAAGAGAACTAAATCTGTCTTCCATTTTCCATTTGTTGTTCCCTTTTAAGCTATTAGTTTGTTTTTCAAATAAATTTTCATTGTTGTTGTTACTGTTATATGTTGTGCAGTTGCCTGTGACCCTATGTATAGCAGCTCTGAAGTATACCCTGTCCAGAGCCAGTCTCGCTGATTCCAACAAACCTAACCCCATTTCCCCAGTTCCTGTATCAATCCATCTCTTCCAGGGTCTTCCTCTCTTACGCTGTTCCTCCATCCTTCTGAGCATGATGTCCTTCTCCAAAAACTGGTTTCTCTTGGGCATGTGCCCAAAGTATGTGAGACAGAGCTTCAAAATCCTACCCTCCAAAGAGAAACCTGTTTTTATCCTCTCCAAGACAGACTTGTTTTCTTGGTGGTCCATGGTATATTCAAGACTTCTCCAGCACTACAACTCAAAGGTATCGATTCTTCTTCTGTCACTGTCCAGCTTTCTGATGCATAACAAGTAATAGCGAAGATCATGGCCTGGATTAGGCACCCCTTAGTCTGTTAACTGACATCGCTGCTTTTCAGTACTCCAGAGAGATTCTTGACAACAGATTTTCCCAATGTAATTCATCTTTTGATTCCAATACTGCTGGTGCCAACGGTATGGACTGTGGAACCAACTAAGCTTGAAGTGTTAACAATCTCAATCTCTTCTCCATCCATTAGGTGCTGCCAACTGACCCAGTGGTAAGAATCTCTGTCTTCTTGATGTTGAGCTTCCATCCATATTGAAGACTACATATAATCCTTGACCTTCTGCAGCCAGTGCTCCAGGTCCTCCTCAGTTTCAGCAAGGTTATGTCATCTTCATAACAGAGGTTGTTGATGAGTCTTCCTTCAATGCTGATGCCACATTCCTCATAAAGCCCAGCTTCTGGAATGATCTATTCTGCATATGGAGACAGAATGCATCCCTGATACACTCCTTTCCTGACTGTGAACCATGCAGTGTTTCCTTAATCTCTTCTGAAACCTGCTTCCTGGTCCAACTTGGGATTCGCATTTTCTTCAAGTCACAGTTTGTTGTGATCCACAGAGTCAAACGCCTTTACATAGTAAATGAAACAGAGACAAACATCCCTCTGTTACTCTGCTTTCTGCCAAGATCCATCTAACACTGACAATGTCTTTAGTACCACAACCGCATCTAAATCCAGCTTGTATTTCTAGTAGTTCTCTGTTAATGTGCTGTTCTAGTCTTTTCTGGATAATCTTCAGCAGGATTTTGCTTGAGTGTGATATAAGTTGTCTCTTGATCGTATATTTGCTGTTCTTCTGTGTCAGCCAATTCTTTCTGATGCAGTGAGTATATATATGCCTTCCATCTTCTTTTAATGCTTCCTGGATCATTCGATATTCAATATTCTACCCATACAGTAAGTATCGTGGCTTGAGACTTGAATATTCTTCAGTTCCTTTGGCTTAAGAAATGCTGAGAGAGTTCGGTCCTTTTGATATTTGACTCCAGGTCCTTGCACTTAACATTATAATACTTCGCCTTGTCTTCCAAGGCTACCCTTTAAAATCTTCTATTCAGCTCATTAACTTGATTTCTTCCCTTTGCTTTGGCTTCTTGGTGCTCTAATGCAATATCCATAGTCTCTTCTGACATCCATTTTGGTCTTCTTCCTCCTTCTTTGTAATGACGTTTTGCATTCTTCATGGATGATATTCTTGCTATCTTCCTACATCTCACCTGGTCTTTGTTAGTGCTGAAGGTCTCAAACATGTTCCTGAGTTGGTTTTTAATTCAAGGGGCATAGATGCAAGATCAAATCTGATTCTTGTGGATATGATATGACCTTCTTTAGCTTTAATTTGAACTTGCATATGAGTAGTTAATGGTCTGTTCTACCTTCAGCATGTGGCCTAGTCTTCACTGTTAATACTGAACTTATTCAACAATTCCTTCCACAGACAGATAAAACTGATCTGATTCCTGTGTATATATACCATCAGGTGAAATCCATGTGTATAGCCTGTGTTTTGTATTAATTTTGTCAATGAGTTTCCAGTAACAAAACAAAAAGTCACTGGGTTTGGGTCACTTCTGATTCATCGCAACCTTCCATCAGGTTAACTTCTGAGGTTGTACATCTTAATGGGCGGAGACTGTCTCATCTTCCTTCTACAGAGCAGCAGATGGGCTTAAACTGGCAACTTTTTTTTGTTTGTTAAATTCCATCCAGTAGAGTATGACTCACAGTGACTCTATAAGCAACTACCCCGAACCCTGTCCTAATCTGTGCTATTCTTATCATCCCTGACACATGTGAATCCATTGCTCATTGCCACAGACACTGTGACAACGTCTTGAGGACCTTCCTCTCTTTCACTGACGCTCTCCTCCTTTCCAAGTATGATGTCCCTCCCTTTCCAAGGACTTCCAGTAACATGTCCAAAATATGAGACAAAGTTTTGCCATCCTTGCTACCAAGGTGCAAGCTGGCTGCACTTTCTCCAAGACACATCTGTTTGTTCTTTTGGCAGTCCATAGATTATTCAATACTATTCTCCAGCATCACAACTCAAATGGCAACTTTTTAGTTAGCAGTGAACTGGCAGCAAAAACACTACAACATCAAGCCTCTATGTAGTAACAAAACAAAGTTGCCATCTAATAAATTATTACTTATATATGACTTTATTCTGTGTTACAGAGTAAAAGTGCTCCACAGGGTTTTCTCTCGGAAAGGAAGTTTCATGACACAGTAAAGTGTTCATCTGATAACTCAAGTTCAAATACACCAGGTGGTCCATGGGAGAAAGATGTAGCAGTCTGCACCCATACAGACTTACAGAAAAGCTATGGACAGTTTTAATCACCGTAAGCAGAGATTAACTCAACAGTAGTGGTTTCTGTTTCTCAATATTTTAAATAACAGATCATGAGGCCTTTATTTTTCAGTGCCATTAGGCTTATAGCCTAATTGATGAGGCCCACATTTAGGACAAGTAACTTCCCAAAGGCATTCTAAAAACATGAAATGGTTCAGCTGGATTACTAACCAACAGTCACCTCTGTAAACAGGTCTGGTGATCTACTTCCAAAAAGTTACATACAGCCTTAAAAACCCTATAAAGTACAGTTTCAAAAAAACCCTATATACTCTGCACACAAGTCAGAACTGACTTGACAGCAACTAATAACTACCACTCTCAAAACAAAGTTGATTTACTGCTTTAATAATGAGAATCAACCCCATTATATTTCATGTTCTAGTTTTCTTTGAATTAATTAGAAAAAAAATTATGATTAAGAGATACAGTCTTAGGGGAGTTAATCAGAGGGTCACACAACTTGATGGGCAGGAGAAGGGGTAGGTAAAGAAACTGGGAAAGATCCAGTGTGAGAAACAATGTATACAAACTTTGAAAGTAAACCAGTATAAAATAAAAATGTTAATTAAATTTAAAAAAATAAAGAAAAGAGCGATAGAGTCATAATACTGGATATCTCTGCAAAATAATATGTCCAAGAGGTTTATCAGGAAAGACTATATAGTCTGATAAATTTAACTTAAAATGTAAAAAGTGATCAATATCCATGTACTCTAATTTTATAATTTATAAATTTATAATTTTATATATTAACTTTTTTAATCATTATTACTATAACTGGTAGACATTTCTAACAACCTAAGCTTTCATGAGAAAAAGGATTCTTGAAGAAGAATCATTATGCCAACTCAAAAATAATTTAACAATTATCACTATGGTAACTAAAACACAACTAACAAATGTTGCAAATCTTTTCTAGTTTTATCATTCAACAATATATGTATTACGCTTATTCACTTATCGCTCTCTTTCTTCTTCCTTTTACGATTTTTCCTCTGTAAAGGCAGACATTTTTATCTAATATTGTTCACTGCTCCATTCCCAACATACAACACTCAAACTGCCATTTAGTCGAGTCTAACACAGTAAATCCTTACGACAGACTAGAACTTTCCCACAGGGTTTCCAGGGCCAGAAGATTGCTGTATCATTCTCCTATGAAGTGACTGATGTGTTTGAACTGCCAAAAGGTTAGTTCACAGCCAAGAGATTTAACACCAGATCTCCTCAAATCTAGAACAGTGAGTACCTGGCATATAATGTGTATTTGATAAATATCAGTCTAATAAGCTAAATGAATAAAATTTAAAAAAAAATTTTTTTTAATTCTTTTTTTTTTACAAAGATGCTAGAATGAAAAGTTGATTCAAAGGTTATAATAAAAAAATTAAAAAAACATTTAAAAAAAAAGGTTATAATAAGATTGTGGGTAATACTCCCTACTATGCTTAGGTGAAGTACTGTTCATGTAGCTCAACTTCGTCTACATTTCTACTACAAAAGTGTTTTTTTACCAGGCTACTGCTGAAGTCTTTCCCACTGCAATACATTTCTGTTGTTAGGGACCTCTCCAAAGTACTGAAGAGCAATAGTGTCACTCTGGAGACTAAGGTGTGTCTGATACAGGCTATGGTCTTTGCAATCACTTGTTATGCATCAGACAGTTGGACAATGACTAGGAAGGACAGAAGGAGAAGTGATGTCTTTGAGCTGGGGTGCTGGAGAAGAGTACTGAATATACCATGGACTGCCAAAAAACAAACAGATTCATCCTGGAGAGGGTTAAACCAGGCTGCTCCTTGGAGGCAAGGATTCTGGGGCTTCGTCTGACATACTTTGGACATAGTGTAAGGAGGGACCAGTCCTTGGAGAGGGATATCATGTTTGGGAGGATGGAGGAACAGCACAAGAGGGTAAGACCCTCAATGAGGTGTCTTGATTCAGTGACTAGGGTAATCAGGATGGGTGTATCAGAGGCAGTGCGACTGGCACAGGATAGAGCAGGGTTTAGGGCTGTTGTACACAGGGTCGCTAAGAGTCGCAAGCAACTAGACAGTACATAACAACAACAACAACTGATTAAGTCTCTTCAAATAAGGTAGAGGAGCATTTAAAAAAAACAAAGTCACTCTTAAATTCCTTTCATTTCAGTCTATATTCTAGTTAAATCTTATCTAGGGAGATTATATGTACATATCAAACAATTTCCCCAACTTATCATTTTTTTTCAAGCATTGCAACTCTTTTAATTGTTATAAGAAATCCATAAAACTGGGAACTGTGCTAAAACAATGTGTAAGAATAAGTAGTTAAATAAACCACACGTTCTTCAATTATGGACCTTTTTACTCCAAGCCATCTGATAATGAATAAAAACTCTTTTTAACGGTTACTATGTGAGGAGATATTATTTGCATTTAGCAAGCAGAAAGCAAGAGGTACTGCTAAACAGCCTGTATTTACAGTACAGACACCACAATGAGGAAATATCTAGTCCAAAATGTGAGTAGAGGCCTGGTTATGAAATCCTGGTCTAAATAAAGAGTTAATTAGATCAGTGAACACCACATTGAAGTGCCCTGCCACCAAAGAACAGAAAAGTAACTTTTTAAAACACAAGCTAAAATGTAACTTAAAAAAATGCTATAAAGCAGTAACTTTCTCATACATCTGTGCACATCAATTAAAATAATAACATAATTATATCTTTACTTTTGTCCAAAGCTAGACACTTTCCCAAAAGATGACTAAAGGAAAAATGAACAAAACAGATATTACAAAAGAATACAAACATTTTCTCAAGTACCACATCTTTTGTCTATCTTTTAAAGACATGGGTTTGTTTTCATGTGCATGTGCCTAACAGCAAGGACAGTACACACTGTACTTCCATGAATGTCAACATAGTGCTTGATGTTGTCAGAATTTTAAATACTAATCTAAATAATAATCATAGTTGATAAAGTTTCTGAGAGGTAGTTATCTGTGAAATTGAATATTTCACTATCATTAAATTTAGTATTCTTTTCTAAAATTCCATTCAAGTCTGAAGGACTTTATTCTTTCAATTTTAAATTTAATGGATTTTTAAATTCATTAGTTATTCAGCTAATACTGGGTACCTGAAAACTTACCATTATAAAAAACAAAAAGAAGGGTTGTATAAGCATTTTTAAAGGCACAGAGAACTCACTCCAACATAGCAGTTATAATGCAAATTTAATGAATGTAAATGCTTCTTAGGTGAATTACTGTAAACACTTGAAAATTTTCCTACAAGAAAAAAAGAACTAAATTCCAAAATTAAAAATTTTTTCAAAAGTGCTTGTTAAGAAAATTATTAAGTGACACTTGGGGGGGAAAGCACTATTAACTAATATTTCATTTTAAAACCAGTTTTTCCATCCATCAACTGAGAAAGAAAACTGGGTCAAGATACTCATTCCTGAATAAAGTACATTCAAAGTGAGTCCTATCCTCAAGCTGTATAGAAGAAAATGTATTTTAAAAATAATACAGGGTCTTCAAAACACAAATCAGAGACACTCAATAATTTAAGCTGTCATTAAAATTTAAGAAAAATGAGATAAATAACACACCCTCAAAAAAGTTTTTTGGACTACATATACATTTTAAAATGTCCAACTATGATCGTAATAGGGAGCCTGGTGGATTAATGGTAAGGACTTTTGCTGCCAAGGAACACAAAGGAATGCAGTTCAAATCCATCAGCTGTTCTGTGAGAGAAAGATGAGCAATCTCTCCCTCTGCAATTTACAGCCTCCGAAGACCAGTTGGAGAGTCAGCTATGGGTCAGTTCTGATTCGACAGTACTCAACAACATGACAGCAATAGGCATAATAGAAATAGCTTTAGTTTTTATTATCACCTCCAAATTTTTCCAGGAGCTTAAATTTTTAAAATCTAGAAAAAGTAAATAAATTCAAGAAGCATACAATGGTATATGCCAGTTTTATAGTGTCCTATATAATGGAATATACAAGTTGCTCCCATTATAAACATATGAAAACCATTTAGCTCTAGCCACAGCAGTATTTTGGGTTTCTCCCTTCTTCTATTTTCTGCCACCTTTATGTTTTCCCTATCCAATTCCAATCCAGCTAAGTCATAACATTTATTTAGAACCAAAAAACTACTGCAAAGGAGGGCAACTGAAGTGTCCAAGAACAAGCTTTAGGTATTTCCAAGTCCAGAGTCACAGGTTGTCGTCTGACTTTTGCTAGAAATGTGTAGCAAACTAAGGAAAGTGTCTCATAGTACTATCAATATTAAGCAACATCTTGGGCTACTATTGGACATCCTGTCACACACTATCTTTTATATAAACTTTTCTTCCTTTCTCTTTTTTTCCTACTTTCCTATTTCTTATTCTTGCCTCTTCAGTGTTCTCTTTCACCTTTCATTCTCATGTTAGGTCTGATAAGACAGACCAAGACCCTATGAAATTAATCCCAAAACTTCTTTAATTACTGTTTACATGTCACTGTTTCTGGAAGGTAGAACTTTGAAATAAATAATAATGCCAAATTATGTTACCTTGAGAAAGCTGCATCAAGTGACTATGCAAACTGCCAGGGATAACAGGTTCAGGAAGTTCTTGAAGGAAAAATCTAAGAAGACTAATAGCTGAGGGAACATCTGCTTCCTTAACCAAATCCACCTCTTCTCCGTTGTCGTATCTCTGCCGAAGCCACTCCACTGTCTCGGCATTTCCATTGACTTGGAAAAGTCCTTGTTGCTCCAGACCTCCTACATTAGTTCAGGGCAAAAATTAAGCAGGCTGCAATTTTGACTATTTGGCCACATATATACATTCTTGAATCAACTTAAAATTCTCGGACTTTTGGAAAGCCACTCTTGGCTCCCCTTATATGGCTAAAAATATTCAACTTATACACCTAGAAATACACTAACCCTGTCCTCTGGGGTCCTAGTCTATTTATCCCACCCACTATGACCATTAAAAATATTCCTATCATCCCCACTAACAAGTGTTCTAAGCTTAGCAACCATCATTTTTAGTATATGTTAAAAAAGAGTGGGTTTTTTTCCCTGTTTCTCATATTTTGGACTTTTGATACTTTAAAAAAAATAGTCAAGTTCAAAAAGAGAAAGCTGTGTTTATTAAAACAAAAACTAGCCTTCAAAGTAAGGAAATGTATACCATGTTCCTCAATATAGTCCACAACGTGGCGGACTATGAATGGAACCTCATTGTCTGGATGTCCTCCCTGCTGCAGCTCATCAAGTGGAATTCCAAATATTTTGTTAGCAAGAACGGAGTTGCAGTTACTCAAGGAAGGGGAGGAGCTCTTCCTCATATCTTTTTTGCAGCCAGAAATCAAAGCTGTCTTTTCTGCCAAATGAAAGACAAAAAAAAGACTACAATGATTAACAGGTGGCAATATGACCAAATACATTAAAGATAGACGCTTTATACCTGAATGTGTTGCCATCTAGTTAAATATTTACCAGTTATCAGGCCCACACTGTGTTCTACAAATAAAGTTCTATACAATTGCTTCAATATTTCTCTACTGTGAAGAGTCAGGCTTGAATGTTTTCTGCAGTGCTTTCCTATTTAACAAACAATTCTGGTAAAATTGATCCTCCAAAACTGAGAGACATTAAAGTGCCAAAAGCATATTAAGGGATAAAACTGGCTCCAAAAGAGTCTTAATAAGTTTGTTTATTAATGGGTCAAGGGCCTTGAGCAAGATTATTAGTGACCCAGATAAAAAGCCAAACCAGATCATCTTTAGATTCTGATATTTGAAGTTTATCTTAACTATTCTTCAAACAGGAATGAATCACCTTTTATAAAGTAATGGGTTAATAATAATTTCTTATAAATGATGGGCTAATAAGAACAGGATTAACCAGTTCTCAATTCTGCATGACAGAGCAGCCAAAGACACTTTTCCAGTTGTCCTTTTTTACTAGGTGTTTCAAAATTATTCGCAAGAACAATGTCCAGATACAGTAGAGTTCAAAAAAAATAAGTGTTTATGTTAATTTTTAAAGAATTATAAATTAGTAAAGAAGCACTGGGAAGAAATAATGTCTCAGATGACAGTTTCCAATTATCTGAAGTGTCAGAGTAATCCTAAGAAAAATCCATTTTCCACAATATACATTCATTACATTATGTGTGAAAGGACTATTTTTCAAAGGGAAAAGGTACTTTTGGAAAGCTGTGAATGAAGAGAAATGACATCAACTGGGCTTTTTGAAAATCATCCCAGAAAAACAATTTCTTTCACACTGCAAACACCCTCAAAAAATTCTACTCAAGATTCTAAATAAGGCCCACATGTAATTATAATACACGGGCTCACTGCATCAATAAACTAATAAATATCTGAAAAGTAATCCAGTCAACAACTCACAGGAACAACAAAATAAACCATTAACAAAGTGTTCAGAAATTTACATAATCTTAGAAAATAATACCTATTATTAAATATAGTGGTACCAGCTAATAACTATAAAATTTCAAGTAGCGGCAAAAATACTAGGAGGCTAAATTCTTAAAAATCTAGATTTAGAACACTGTACACTGAATAGTACCATTTTGAAAACTTACCTTTGAGTACTTAAACACCTAAGTTTAAAAAATGGCTTCTGGACCAGCTACCCTCACTGAGCAAGCATTCTTTTGTCATTTATGGCTGCTTGAGGTTATGGCAGAAGATAAGCCTGTAGTTCCTCATTGAAGAAACGCAGAACTCGATCAGTACTTCAGCAGTTAATCTAGAAGGAAAAAAAATTAAACTAACTTTAACTGACAGAAGAAAGAAGTGAAGTCCATTTAATTGGTAAAGTACAAAACACTGGGCTACTAATCACAAGGCCCAGGGTTCAAATACACCAGAAACTTCACAGGAAAAAGATGCTGTTTCTTCCTATAAAGATAACATAGCCTGAGAAACCCAATGGAAGGTCACTATGAGTCAGTCAACTGAAGAGTGATGGGTTTCCTTTTAATAACGGAAGTCATTATTCTGCCTGCAGAAGTTATGTGCTACCTAAGCAAAATGCATCAAAGTGTTTATGCCAAGGCTTCAAGTTTTTATGACAGTTAAATTGGACAAAAATTTTCCAGATAATTAAAACATAACATACATGGGAATTATAAAGGAGTCTTTGACAGTACACATTTTCAAGCTCCACAATGTTCAACAATCATTTGTCTGTCAGTTTGCCCTATTGTGATGGTTTGCATGCTGCTGTGAAGCTAGACACTATGCCACCAGTATTTCAAATACTTTCAGGGACATCCATCCAAGAAATAGGCCTCGCTAACTGATCTCTACTAACAGTAGCAAAAATATTACCCAACATAGTACCAGAAAATTAGTTTCTCATGTTGTTGAAAGGCATTCAAATTACAAATGGCCAAGAACTGTGTCTCAAACTGATGTTGGTATGTCCATCAAAACAACAACTCATAGTGACCCGATGAATAATAACAGATCAAAATCTTGCACTATCCTGTGCCAGCCTCCTGATCTATGTGTCACTCCAGCCCATTAAGTTACTGTGTCAATTCATCTTGATGAGTTGTCCTCTCTTTCTCCAATCCTCCATCTTTACCAACATGGTATCTTTTACCAATGATTGGCCCCTCTTTATAACATGTCTAAAGTATCAGATGAAGTTTTTTATCATCCTTTGTCTCTAAAGAGTAATCTGGTTGCACTTCTTCCAAGACAGACTTGCTTGTTCTTTTGGTAGTCCTTGGGATATTCAGCACTCTCCTCCAACAGCACAGCTGAATGGCATGATTCTTCCTCTGACATCTTTATTCACTGTCCAACTTTCAGATACTTGTTAGGTGCCGTCAAGTTACATATAACTCATAATAACCCCATGAACAACAGATCTCAATCCCATCCAAACCTGGGTCATCCTCACCACTTCTTGACATATTTGAGACCACTGCTGCAGTCCCTGTATCAACCCATCTCAGTGAAGGTCTTCTCCTCTTTCTCCAACTCTCATCTTTCCATCCCTTTCCAAAGAACAGCTTCTCCTAGTAACCTGCCCAAAGTACATGACACAAAATTTGGCCATCTTTGTCTCCAAGGAACACTCTGGCTGCATCTTCTCTAAGATATATCTATTTGTTCTTTTGTCATTCTATGGGATATTGAGTATTCTCCGACATCCCAGCTCAAAGGCATCAACTCTTCTGTCATCCTTAGTCACTGTCCAGCTCTCAGATGCACAGCAAGTGATTTAGAAGACCATGGCCTGAATTAGGAGCAATTACAGAGAAATTGAAAAACTATGGCTTCTAACTGATATATAGCTCTTTGAGCACTTTGGAGAGAAGAGCAGATTTTTCCCAACGCAATATTTTTTCTTTTCCTTTGCTTTTTGGCTACTGCTACCATAGGTAAGGAATGTGGATCCAAGTAAAATGAAATCCTGGAAAACTTTAACCTTTTTCCTATCATGATGTTGGCTACTGATCCAATTCTGAGGATTTCTGTATTCTTGATGCTGAGATGTAACCCATATTGATGTCTGTAGTCTTTGATCATCTTCAGTAATTGCTTAAGAGTCTACCTTAATTAGACAGAAAATGAATAGGGATGACAGAAGAAGAATTGACACCTTTGAGCTGTGGTATTGGAGAAGAGTACTTAACATACCATGGACAACCAAGAGAACAAATATCTATTTCGGAGAAGGTGCAGCCAGAATGCTCACTGGAGGCAAGAATGATGAGCCTTGACCTCACATACTTTGGGCATGTTGCTATTCCTTGGAAAGGGGCATGATGTTGGGAAAGGTGGCGGCTCAGAGGAGAGAAAGACCCTCAGCCAGGTAGATTGACATGGTGACGCCGCAGTGGGCTCAAGTGTGTCAGGAAATATGAAGATGGCACAGGATAGGATGGGGTTCAGATCTGCTATTCACAGTGTTGCTATGAGTCGTACTCAATTTGACAGCACCTAGCAACAACAACAATTAGATGAATAAAATTTTCACCCGATAATACATGAAGATCAATATCCTAGGCATTAGTGAGCAGAAATGGACTGTATTGGTCATTTTAAATCAGACAATCATATTATCCTAGTATGTTGAGAATGAGAAATCGAAGAGAAATGGTGTTCCAGTCATTGTTAAAAGGAACATCACATAATTTATTCAAAAGTAAAATGCTGTCAATGGCAGGATAGCTGGACAGTGAATAAAAGGACTGAAAAACAACTGATGACTTTGAATTGTGGTATTGGTGAAGAGTACTAAATACACCATGGAACTAAAAGAACAAATCTGTTTTGGAAGAAGGGCAGTCAGAATGTTCTTTAGAGGCAAGGATGACAATGTTTCATCTCACATATTCTGGTGTTTGTCAGGAAAGACAAGTTCTTGGAAAGAGACAGCATGCCTGGAAAGTGAAGAGTCAGCAAAGAAGACTGCTCTTTATAAAAGAGATTGACAGTGACTGCAACAATAAGCTTAAAAACAATCGATACTGTGAGGATGGCCCAGAATTGGGCATCATTCCAATCTATCACACATCATTCAAAGAAACCATTTTTGTTAGTGGACACTTGTCTTTCTCTCATTCTTTCCTCATTCCCTTATATATTCAACACTAAATTTAGAAGTCATTTCAAATCAGAGACTCAAAGATATGGCTGAAATTTAGAACTATATTGACATATTCCATTCTTTTCTGTGTTTATAACAGAATACTTTTGTCTTATCTATCTCATTTGGACAGACACTAGCACATGTTGGGAGTGATCAGAACCAGAATGGCTTGCTTGAAATAAAAGCTGCAACATGAAATGATATATCCACCCATGTTTGTGCAGTATTATTGACAACAGCAAAGAAGTGAGAACAATCTAAGTGTTCACCAACAGATGAACAGTTAAGGAAATTATGGTATATTCACACAATGGAGTATGATATAACACTAAAGAATAAAGAATCCAAATAACATGGATTAATCCATAGGTAATCATGCTGAGTGATATAAATCAGTCACAAAAGAAAAATTATGGTGGAAGATCACTACTATAAAAAGGAAAGATTTACACATAGAATCATTCTTAGATGGCTAACAGGGAAGACAGGAGAGTAAAAACTGATAAGCTGGGTGAAGTGAAGGCTTACACAATAAAGTTAATTTTAGTGGTCAAGTCAATTACAACTCATGGTGACCCTATCTTGAGCCATCCCCATGAGCTCTGTCATGTTCAAGTCCATTGTTGCAGTCATTGTTGTCAATCCATCACACTAAAGGTCTTCCTCTCTTTCACTGACCTTCTGATTTTCCAGTATAACTTTTTTC